TATTTTGAAAATAGGATGCTTTGCTATTTTCCTGAACTTGATGTTCACAAATCATTTGGAGCAACGGTAGAAGTTAAAACAAAAATTGGCAAGAATGGGCAATAATCCAGAATTCTGGATCAATCTAATATGTTTTGGGATGACACTGTAAGCTCAGTGCATACAATGAGGACCACAAAAAGTTGTTAGAACTACGTAACGTTAGAATACTAATAACGTGGCACAACGATATAGACAATAAAGCATGTTAAAAGTGTCATAGAATCATCATGATGGGAGAGACCACATGGGCCATCTAGTCCAACCCCTTGCCACGCAGAAAAAGCAGAATCAAAGTACCCCTGACAGATGGCCATACAACCCTTATTTAAAAGCCTCCAAGGAAGGAACTTCCACCACACACTGAGACAGAGAGTTCCATTGCTGAACAGCTCTTACAGTCAGAAACTTCTTCCTAATGTTCAGGTGGAATCTTCTTTCCTGTAATTTGAACCCATTGTTGCGCTTCCTAGTCTTCAGGGCAATTTTTTCCGTGGTTACCCAAGCCTACTAGTTAGTACTATATTGTGCGCCATCTGCGCCTGTACCTTGGGAAGTCTTACTTGGCCACGGTGGTCCACGCTCCGGTTACATCCTGTATAGACTACTGCAACGCTCTCTACATAGGGTTGCCTCTGAAGACTGCCTGGAAGCTGCAGTTAGTCCAACGAGCGGCAGCCAGATTACTAACAGGAGCGGGGTACTGAGAGCATACTACTCCTCTGTTGCGCCAGCTCCACTGGCTGCCAATTTGCTTCCGAGCACAATTCAAAGTGCTGGTGTTGACCTATAAATCCCTAAATGACTCTGGCCCAGTTTACCTGTCTGAACGGATTCTCCCCTATGAACCATCAAGGTTGTTAAGATCTTCTGGAGGGGCCCTGCTCTCAATCCCACCACCCTCGCAATCGCGTCTGGTGGGGACGAGGGACAGGGCCTTCTCGGTGGTCGCCCTGCAGCTCTGGAACTCTCTCCCACTGGAGATTAGATCTGCCCCTTCTCTCCTGATTTTTAGACAACTGGTGAAAACCTGGCTCTGGAATTTAGCATTTGATGAATGAGTCAATAACTCCTGACCACACGGATGGATAGCGATGAATTGTGACTTCATTTTGACAACTTGGCATTATGTAATTATATGATCGTATTTTAATGTTTTAGTGAATTATGGGATGTGATGTTTTAAACTATTGTTTATTAATCTTTTGTTGTGAACCGGACTGAGTCCCTCTGCGGAGGACGAGAAGACCGGCATATAAAAGTTCTAAATAAATAAATATATATCCTCTTTCTGGTCATCTGGTCAAGGAAGGCTACATCCAGTTCTTCAGTCTGACTTGGAGGTCTGTAGTAGACTCCCACAACTACATTTTTCAGTCATTGTTCCCTCAATTCTTATCCAGTTGCTGTTAACTTGGTTACCAAGACTGAAGTCTTGCATCTTTTCACAGGTGTAAGTATTTTTGACATATAATGCTACCCCAGCCCTCTCCTGTTTTGGTCTGTTTCTCTGAAATAGGTTATACCCCTCCATGGCTACTAGGCCTGGGTAACAACGGAAAAATTTGTTTCTAAAATCGATTTGTATTTGGGGGGGGGGG